TATTAAATTAAAAATCATATTATTACGTTTAAATTAAATTAGTTAATATTTTTAATTCCTATTTTTTAGAAGAAATTAAAACACAGAAATTATTATTATTATTATTATGGATAAGCTGTGCATACACTGCGACCTGAAAGATCTTTTGTGCAGTAACCATTTTATATTTATATTTATTTACACATCAATTTATAAATATGTTTATATAAATAGTTAATTCCAGCAAAGACGGCCCTTAACACATATATTTAAAAAATAGAAAGTAAATCTAAACATCTTTCTAAAATTTAACTGTACCAGGAAATTGGCGGAGATTAATATTTTAAAACCACTAGTTAAAATACTCATTTAAGCCATCCCATTGATTAAAACCTTGCATACTCAAAAAACTCAAAAGAGCATGGATCGAACTGGAAGTAAGTATCCGTTCTTCATGGAGAAATCGATTTTCAGCCAATACCCCTTTCTCGCCACCAGGTGGTGACGCCAAATTTATGTTCAAATACACAAATAATCGAGATCCCATTGCTTACAAGCAGAGAAAGAAAATCTTAAATATATAAGTAGGTAAATAAGTTATTTTTACAGCATTCTTACACTATCTCAAGTTTATGCTTCATATTACATAGATTTCAATAATTGTACATGTAATTTTTAAGTATATATAGGGTTCCTATTAAATAGACTTGCAGAATTACATGTGTAATAAGTACAAATAGTCTTGTGGTGAATAATAAAATTATTGCTTCACCTACATTCCTTCCTCCTATACCACGTTCAAGCTTTCCGACTTATATAAACCTAGACTTCTGAGTACTTAAACTCTTTATCTCAACTACCTCCCCACTAGTTTTACATGTTCTTCCATCTTTTATCCATTATTTGAATATATTTTATGTTGAAGTTCTTTAAACAACAATCAAATTGAGTGTATGTCGGTTCTGGCAGTAGCTTATCGCATAGTAGATCCTCTATTAACCAATTAAGAGGCGTTTTCGTTTCCCACTATATTCTGATATTCTAAAATATAGATAAGAGAAACATTTGTCATTCTACTTTGTGTCATTTCACCTTAAGCTGAACAAAAGTTAGAGGCGACAGCTTAACAAATGTAAAAGAATAGGGCTACAGAATTAATGGATATTCAATATTTGCATATGGATTTTTGTAAATTTTTCTGTTTCATTATTACAATATTGGTATTCTATATATATTTATTAAATTTCAATCATATTAGTTTTATTTCAAATAAAAAAATAATTGCATTTATTAGAGAGAAATTATAAGAAAGTAAATTAGAAAAGAAATCATCTAACTTTGTATAGAACACTGACTTATAAGATGGATAGATAAAAAGATAGAAAATTATAATAAATTAAAAATTATTGATTTGAATCTTTAATTGATATATCAAAGAATAAACCAACCGATTTATCTGATATTATAGTTATACCGTCAACAATATATAGATATAGATATATAAATATATATCTGTATACCTAACAACATAAAACATAATCATATAAAATACTACAAACTGACACAGCATTAATAAATTATAAATTATATATATTTAATAAATTATATTAAATAATAAATCATATAAAAATAAAATAAATTACAATTTATTACAAGCATATTATTCAAATAATGCAAGTACCTCAAAGCGACTTCAAATTAATGAAATAAACATCTAAATGCATAAAACTTTAGACAAAATGATAATAATGATCCACAATTAGTAACAAAAAGAAGAACAAGAAAAAGTTCTTAGAAAACCTTTATATTTAACCTCATAAATTGGTGGTATTAACTGTAATTAATATTAGATGCCCACAGATGGTATGCGTTGGATCAGATAATATATACTCCTGATACCTATATATCAGATAAAAAAAAATATTAAATAGTCCCTGATTGTAATTCCACAAATAATATGAAGGAATGACATCTAACATCAGGTAGAAAAACTATTGTTTTATTACTATAAGAGGAAACCTTATACCGGCAAACAAAGCATTATGTTTTTTATGACTTATACAACTATATAAAGGTTCACTCTCGGTAAGAAAAAATTAACATTAAAGAAATATATTGTTCAAAACGTTGTTTTATAATAACATGAATAAAGGTGAAGATCAGATATACTGGAAATTTGCATTAATAACAATATTTAAGAAAAAATCTGGTATATAGAAATATAAATGAAAAATTTTACCATACAGATATACATATGCCATTTTTGATTTATTGTTATTCGAATATTCCAAGAATCCTATTGTTTTGGTTTATTACCCACTTAAACCATAAAAACAGTCAGACTTATATTTGTCAACCCTAATTAATGTACTAACAATACAATATAAATAATTTATTTTATTATTATTTTACTTATTTTTGCGTTTCTTAAAATAAAATAATCTTACTTTACTAATATTATCTACGTTGATAACAAACGCGAAAAGGATCGTTAATCCCTTTTTCAGGTCATTTTTTCCGCTTACAATAATAACTTTAATATAGAATAACAACTCATAAACTTCTACAGGTAAATGATCTCTTTTTAATATAAGATAAAACATGTAAATAAGTAAATATCATTATCCTTTACAAGTGCATGTTCAAACAAGAAAAATAGATTTCAAATTAAACAAATTTAAAGAAAATCCAAATTTTCTTTCTAAAGTTTGTAAATTTAAAACGTTAATGAACTTCGAAAAGTAAATAAATTAATTTTTCATTTTCGAACTAAACCCAACGTTCGAGATTTACTAAAAATAGATTGAGAAGAATAGATTTGAGATCTATTCGTTCACGTGGAAGAAACATTTTACAAGTAAATGACAAACAGAATGACAATTCTAAAAAGCAATAAAAAATATATAAAACAAATTTAGAAAATCTGACGGAAATGTTGTTCCAGAAATAAATATATATCAACTGATCCATGAGGTGTTTGGTCACAGTTCTTCAGACATTTAAGCATAAAATCGAAGTAATTGACACTGAAAGGCATAAACTACAAAATAAAATGTATAAATCAAATCAACTTTATTTATAATTTTAGTATTTTGTATTTGTATGTAATATTGTAGTAGATAAATTATCTCATATAGATAAACTTTAGGTTATAATAAAAACTTGAAGTTTAGTTCCATAATTTATAATTAATATTAAAAATTTGTGTACAAATCTGAATAAGATACGCTACGTTAGAACTTCATTAATTAATTTATTTCTATTATATATCTTTTATATGACATGTGCATCAGTAGTAATTAATATTATTACTAGAGTTTTTAACTAATGTAAAGCTACAGAATTATCAAGCATAGCTATGTTCACTAGATCTACTTGACCGCAGTAATACATATAGATATGAATATGGACCAAATATACTATCAAATAATCATAGTCAATAATTCTATTAATATTTTATATAAATATTTTAAAATATTTAAAAATTGAAAAAATAATATCATAATGTGCATAATAAACTAATGTACTTCCATAATATCATTAATACTTGTCGAAAAACACGATTATTCATCGTTTCTAATTTAACAGGCACGAGTTCTAATGATGGCACTTGCAGTCCAACAAATTACCATACATACGGACTATAAACTAATAAATAAAAATTCGAATATTTCTTAAAGTCACTGATGACGAGTATTTGGCAATACTCGAAACAGCATTGTATGGTCAGCCAAATTTCACTAAATCAACTAAAATGTTTGTTGTTGTTTATTCATTACTATGCAAACTCTTATAATATCATTAGATTTATAGTGAAATTTTAAATTTATATGAAGATTTATATAAAAATTTTTTCCACTTATTGTTGTTGTAGCTTATTGGAATATAAAAGCTAGCTGGAAAAACCATTACAAAGGATAGGGTATGAGAAGGGTAGTGGCGGAAGTATTAATGGAAGTACTGAATTTAGCCTGCATACAGATGAAGAAATTTTGCTATCTTGATGATTATTAGAACTAAAAATTATATATGATCAAGAAAAGAGATGAGTAACAGTTAAGTTTTTCCAAGCTAGCTGGAAAAACAAACACATATGATAGCGTATTAGAGAGGGATTGGGGAAAATTGATAGGAGTACTGAATTTAGCCTGCATTCAGATGAAGTAATTTTGCTTTCTCGATAATTAATAGAACAGATGAGTAGTATAAGGAGCACAGAACATATATTGGAGGTAAGCATATTTATACGTGACCGGTAACTCATCACTAGTTACATCTATTCCTCAATTGTACTTGGACAGTTCTTACTGCTCAAGCGTTATCTCGTCAGTTTTCCAATCTCAATAGTGGACTTCTTAAATACTAGGACAGTTCTAAACTGTTGGTATATTATAATAGGCTGTTTTATTTGCTTTAAGACTGAAGGTATATTTAGTATAACATATACCTTTAATATAAATTCAGTTCTATTATATTCTATTCAGTTCTACGTATATTTGATTTAAATGATTATTCCTTTACAAAAATAAACCACATAATGACTGTAAGGACCCTAATTTTCACTTTCAATAAATGTATTTTAGAAATTAAAATTGTTTTTATTTTATAAACTCAAATCATTCAGCAAATGAACGCATTCTAAATTTATTTTTTAAGGTATGGCAGAGAGCCATATTAACGTGCGACTAATGCATTTGCAATAAGAAAACCATATATCCACACTTAGTCTGGTGCTTTTTTTAATTTTTGGCAAATAATCAAAAGAAAAAGTCTTTTACCTCTTTAATTAATCTTAAAAAAACTAAAAGCAAAAATTTTGGGAACGATATGATTCACTTGCGTAAATAATTAGCGCAAGTTTGTGAATTAGGAGGGAAGAGTATATATTGTATATGTCTATATAATTTTTGAATATTATTAAAACTTGATATAAATTAGAATTATAAAAGATTTGTTATTGTATTATGTATAATGTAAGCACTGACAGTTAGTCACTTTTATAACACAATCAATTGACTTACCTGGATTTGTTGTTCTAATGCAATGACAATATCCTTACGTGCTAGTGTCAACTGCTCCTGCAGTCGACATTCGTATTGTTCAATTATTTGTTGTATAACTTGAGATTCATTATTCATATTCAATTCATCTTGATCGATTATAATTAGTGAGGTATTTAAATCATTTACATGCGGCACCACTATGCTATCAACAGTTGTATTTGTAGTGTCACTGGTAGTTGTGGTATTCTTAGTAGTTGACTGGTATATTTTATGGTATTTTATTTTGTTGGGTTTAATTTGTTAAATTTGGTGTGGTATGTTAACGGAAATGCAATAAAAAAAATATATCATGCAGTTAGCACAACGGATTTGTTAAAATATATACATTATAGTTAATATACATATGTATATATAATATGCATTTTTAAATATATATATATATATACATTTTATTAGTTTTTATTATATATAATTTAATTTGTTGGACATTGCGGTTAGAAGGTTTTTCATAAAATAGTAACAAACGGTGGAGTATAAACAAACCTAAATTAAGAGATATATAAAAAGTAATCAGTTAATTATGGGTTCTCAAACCGCCTACAACTTATACATCTACGATTTCTATATTTATTTAAAGTTCTTTTTATTGTATAGCTTTACATAAAACCAATCATTTAAGTTCTTAAGCGGTTTTCGAAATTTTATTTTATTTTAAATAAAATTATGATTAAAAATAAAATATGGAAATAATATAAAAAAACAAAATGCTAGACATATCTATAAAAATATTCTTTTGCAACGTATGGATTAGCGACAAAGAATTCATGATTGCCAAAAGCGGGAAAACCTATGAATCAGCGACTGTTCATCTAGTTGGTACAGTACTTCTTCCTTATCCCTAATCCTCCATACCCACACTCAACCATCACCTATCCACATCCTAACCCATGTATTCGTCTTGTAAATCCTTCCATGTTAACTGCTTTATGATTCTAGTGGATTAGAATAACTATGTTATAAGATGTTGGACTTGTGCACCAGTACGTCCGTAATGTGAAGCAAGTTGAATTTAGTTAATTATCCGACTTTCAAATTCTAAAAAACGCTAATAAGCCTCAAAAACAACGAGCAATATTTTTTGAGAATTTTTGACTATGAACGAATTTCAAAAATCAGAGAATGGAATGTCTCTAAGCGCGTGAGAGCGCCCAATTAACAGAATTAAAGTTATACAAGCTACAAAGCATTAGTATAATAGAAACTCTAATAAATGCTGATAACAGAAACTTTATTTTTATCTATTTTAGCATTGGCAATGCTTTTTAGTTTGCTAGCAAACAAGACTTAAAAGTTTAAGTTGTTTTGTTAGAACATCGTCCTTATTCGTAACCATACTCTTCTTCAGAAGTAGAATATTCATCCCAACGTTCCCCTAACTTTTCAACATCTTTTTTATAGGTTGATTAGTTTTAAACATTAAAATAGGTTTACATTTCAGCAATTATCTCTTTATTTCATCCCAATATCTTTCCCTGGAACATCGTTCTGATGACTACAAAAAGCAAGTTGTCAAATGGGGTTCAGCTGTAGAGAGTAGGGTGTGTTTAATAATATTGTATCCCTATCAAAATATAATGTTTAATCAATACAAGAAATTCTTTTTTATTCATTGTTTAAAAAATAACATAACTGCTGTCTAAAAAAATCACTGTTACTTGTAAGTAAATTAACTAAATGTCATGAAAATTTGACATAAGTCGTTCGATGGACGTGTTTTTCCACAAATCATATGAGTTTATCAACAGTGTTGCTATAGGTATATATATATATATCGGACCTGAGATTTATTGAGTGGGTGTTATATATATCGATAAATGTATATATAGTATAAGTACATAAACTTTTTTGGAATTAATGTAAATTAGTATTTCAGTTCGGTTTGTGGATATAACATGTTAACAGACAGAATCCTAACTTAATCTAGATAAAATATATAATGAAAGTTCTCAACCTAATCTGGGAACTATAAATATAACAAACATTATTCAAAATATTCAGAGATATTTTGGCTGCTACCCAAATCCCAAGCTATAACAAATCTACTTTATATTATTATGTTGAGGCTAGTTGAACCAGTGCACCTGAGCACTTTTACTCTCTATTAACTGCGAGGTTTCTTCAAAACTTCATTTATGTTTAAAATTACACTAAAATGCATAATATCTAATATAATCTAATATCAATCATATTCAAATACTATTCATACATACTATCATTATGTACAAGCTACATGCTTAAACGTATTCTAACATCAAAATACTGTAAGCTTAAAATAGCTGAAATAATTTTTAGAGCACTAACATACATACATAAGAACGGACCAAAGAGCAGCTATTAGTCTTTCAAGAATGGCCGGGTCTACGTCCCGGAATCACTCGCCATTTTCAACGGTCAAATACTGTTTACCATGGTTTACAACAGCAATAGTTCTACGCATTTCAAATTACAATAGCTGTTATTAAATGTACTTTACTTTTATAAATTTTAATCTGTTATCCTTTGATTATTAAGAATTAAAAATACTTTGAAAGATGTCTTTATATCAAAAAAACTGAAATCAGTCAGGTAAATCCTTAAAATTAAATAATACTTAATATTTATAAACTCAGAAATAAATGTCTATAGAATATATATGTAACCTAAAAAATATGTATATAATGAATTCTAACATTGCACTATCAAATTGAATTATGATAATTAAATAATCCCATATACAATGGTATCAAAACTAGTTATAAAATTCTTAACTAGTTTTTGAAAGTGATGGACATGTACATTTTAAACTCTGTAAAGCATTTTATGATAAATGTCACTCAATTTATGAAAAACCTTCACCTATGTTATGTCTTTATGTTCATGATCTCATATCAAAATATTAAATGAAAATATATGTAAATAAAATGTAAAATACATGCGCTATAATTCCAAGTTCTTACCATGAAATCATCTTCAGGATAACGACTTTCATAATATTTAATTCTTTCCTTCATTTGGCGTATATTATCTGCTTGGTGGCGTTGTATTTCATGAATTTTATTTTGATAAAAACTTTTAAGTTCATTAATTTCAGCTGATAACTAATAATATAAAAACAAAATATTCAATTATTTATTTATTTTTTTCAAAACTGAAAATACAACTTACATTGAGATTGTTTCCTTTCTCATCTTCAAAAAGTGCATCTGTACTTGGAGTCATTTGACGATGACTTGGTGACAGCAGAAGTTCAGCGCGTGTACGTTTCTTTGGTGATTTTTCTATGGCACGTATATTTGCAGAAATTGGCACAATATCTTCAGGCATTTGTTCATGATCGGAACATTCCGATGAAGACGAATCACTACCGTGAAGTTGAGATTTTTGTGAGAAGACGTCATCAGAAAATCTATATACAATGAAATAGAATATATTTTATTTAAAAATTTATTTTATTTTTTTAATAGTACATTCTACTTACTGTTTTTCTAAATCGGCACATTTTGTTTCAAAATATTTACGTAAATCATCTAATTCTTTAGCATGATTTGACTTTTTCTCTTCTAACAATTTAGTTAAACGTTTTATTTCTACATCTCTTTCCTGCTTTTCATTTTGTAGTTGATCTAAACTTAGTTTCACTTCATGTTCGCATTTCATTTTACATTTCTCCAACTCTGAACTTAGAAAATCGTCGAATTTCTTTTGTACCATAAAAAATAAACGCACTTCATTGGGTGTTAGATATTTTTGAAATTGTTCAATTTGTTTACTAAACGGTGCCTGTTGTAACCATTCAGCTAAATCAGTTTCTGCTGCCGATCCACTGTTGATATCATTTTGGCGTGGTATAGATAGTTGACGCTCTCGAGAATTACGTGAAAACTTATCGTCATTGTCAGTTAAAAATTGTTGTTCTAAATCATCGTCACTTTCGCTAACTAAATCCATAGATATTTCAGATATACGTTGACCGCCACCGCTCTCATGCTCGCGTGGCCAATAAGAACGACGTTGAGATTCCAATGCATCCGCAAGTTGTTTGCGCAGCAATTGTATTTCCATATTGAGTTTCTCACCTTCACTCTGCAAGTTTTCACGCACATTTATCGAATGTTGCAATGAATCGGAGAGCTTTGTAATTAACTCATCACGTTTGGATAGCTCTATCAAAATATCCATAGTCTGAAATTAAAAAGTAAATAATCAAAAAAATATATATCTACAATTTAGTTTTTTATGTAACTTACCGGTCCACCAAAATCTTCTTGAAATGTACGATACTCTGTAGAACTAGTTAGAATTGAGCTTGTATCTCTACCCGATCCTGGTTGTTCCGTTGAGATACCACCATTCGACTCACGACGCTGTGATGCATCTAATTGTAAGTTTAAAGATGCTAAGTAAGCATCTTTTGTTCCATTTAAATTCTCCAATTCATCAGGTTTTTGTTCCGCCATGTGTATCATGCTTAAACTAATAATACTATTTGAACTTCCTTTGTCAACGTGTAAATTTTTGCTAATACTTTTTGCGGAAGAATTAGATTTATCTAATGATTGTTGTTCTTCCGCTGTAGAAAGAGAATTCCGTTCACTTTCTTCTGTTATATCTTCCAGCACATCCTTAGTTAATTCATTTAGAGGTACACGTTCCATTTGTTTAATTGTTTGTTCCAAATTATTTGAGAGTTCATTGGGGGAATCGCTCGTGTCTTTTATTTGGAACTTCATAGCTAAAAGACGCAATTTCATTAGCTCCAATGAATTATCTTCATTATCATCTTCAACTTCTAATGATTGATTGAAATTAGTGGACATAAAATCTTTTTGTTCATCTACTACATTCTGTATTTTATTTGCAAAGCTTTGTTCCGTTATTAATGGTAGTTTCATCGGCACAACCTGCTCATCTAATGGCTTTAATTCTAATGTTTCCATTAGCTGTAATAATTTATTATCAATTTGTATGGCATTTAATGGCTTATTGTTATCTTGTAATTCTAAGATTGACTTTGAATTTTGCATTTCTTCTAAGGAAGTTGCCTTGGATTTGTCAATGTGAACATCTTCTGTCATTTGCTCATCTAAATCAGTAATAATCTGGGGTTTAATCTGAACATCAACAATCTGAGCATTTGAAACTGATTCTAATTTATTTTTATGTGATAATTTTGTAGTAGTTGCTTGAATTGCACTTTTATTTGACACTTTAGACATTTCAACTTCATGGGTTTGTGGTAAAGCTTTAATACTATTGTCTTTACCCACAGATTTTACTTGCTCTGGTGTATCTGCTAGTAAACGATTTACTACCGATTCATTATGTATATCAAAACTAGGATTAAGAGAACTTAAATCTTTAACATCGAAGCTGAGTTCAACTGAATGATTAGCTTCCACAATTTCTTCAATGGAATGATCTTTCTCACTGTGTACTGATGAAGCACCACTCAATTGAGAATTTTCATTCATTTCAATACATTTTTCGTTATCTGAACTATGGCTTAGTGAATGTTTTCTTCTATTTGTATCTGACTTTAATTTGATACTTTCACTTAAACTTTGCGTTGTTGGTGGTGTTGTTAAAAACTTTTCTTCAGATATTTTTTTACTTTGAAGTTTAGAACTCTCTTCCACAGTTCGTTCTTCTTTTTTGTCATTTTCATCATCTTCTAATGTTTCAAGATTTTCTGCTTCCGTTTCAGTTGGTTCAAATACATCTGAAACATCAGCATTTTTCTGACTTTGTACTCTGGAACTTTTAGCTGTTGTAGTTTCGTCTTTTTCATCTTCAACATTTTTTTCTTCTGATTTCGATTCTGTTATTATACCCGAAATATTATCAATTTTTTTACTTCGGTCTTTAGAACTTCTTTCTACTGTATCTTCGTCTTTTTCATCTTCATTTGATTTCATATTTTTTGCTTCCGATTTCGATTCTGTTGTTATACCCGAAATATTATCAGTCATTGTACTACGAAGTTTAGAACTTTTTTCTGTTGTACCTTCGTCTTTTTCGTCTTCATGTGTGCTTTTATTTGTTTTTTCTGACATCGATTTCTTTAAATCCAAAACATTATCAGTTTTTTTACTACGAACTCTAGAACTATCATCAACAGTACTTTGTGTAACTTCTTCTTTTTCATCATCTTCGTGTGTTGTAATATTTTCCTCTTCCAATCTAGCTTCTTCTATTAAATCTGATACATCATCCGTTGTACTCTGATTTGTTAAACTTTCTTTATGTTCTTCACTTTCATGTTCTGTAGATTTATGCTGTGAATGAACTAAACGCTTTTCTAATGGCAAACTAATACTTAAATCACCAAAATCTTCTTCTTGTTCATCATCATCATCATCTATCTCATTCTTATCGTCATATTTTTCTTCATCATCATCATCATCATCATCCTCTTCATCTAAAACAAAATGTTGTGCGATTTTCCCTCCAGATAGTTGTTCATCATCAATTTTAAACTGATCTTCATCACTTGTGTTATTCTTACTTTGACTAACTTTTGTTTTGCTTCGCTCTTCTGAATCAGTTATCACACTAAACTGTTGCAATGATTTTATATTCGAATTTGTATTTTGCTTGCTGTATCCAGCAGCTTCAGATAATACTAATGAACCATCATCAATCCCATCATCATCATCATCGATTACTTCACTTATTTCTAATGCCTCTTCAATTTCTTCTTCAATACTCTGATCACTACTTGCCGTGGTCGTAGTTGCCATGGCACTGTTACTACTGTTTCTTCTTGCTGACGACTCTGTTGTCGTAAGCCCTGTTGTCGTCGATTGTGTTGTGTTGTTCATTTCAATCGTAATAGAACTTGTAGGCTCATCAAAATATGACGTAGCATCTGTTAAACTTAAATTGACCTCCCGCTGTAATAATTCCTCGGTATCAGTGGTTGTTGTTGTTGCAGTCAAAGCTTCTGCTGCTTGTGTCGATGTTGAGATTACATATGTATGCTTTGAATCATTATCGTTATCAATACTTTCATAGTCACAAGTTGCAGCAACATGTTGCGTATCGAAATTTGTTGTTGTTACTGATTTGCCAATAATAAAATTAAGTGTTGGAATTAAGACAACATTATTCGTGGGCGGTGCAGTATTAGAATTATTTTCACTTGTTAACGATTCTTGAGCACCTAATAGTTCTTCTTCGGAATCTTCTATTGATTTAAAGCGGCCACGTGGGCGAAGAAATGAAGTGATCTAGAAAGAAGACAAACATTTAAATTAGTTCATTGCATTACAAAATATATTTTTTAAGTAATTTTTTTTAATAGCAATAAATTCTATTTGTTTTATGTGGAATGCAGTATATTGTTTATATAATGCATCAAAGAAGTATTTAATAATATATTAAATTTAAATTAATTCAGTTAATAAAGTTAATATCAAATAAACTTATATTTTTAAAATTTAATTCACGTTATATTAAATAAAATTGATATTTTTTTTTAATTTTATTGACGTAATAAATTTAATAAATATCATATAAATTAATTACATTTTCTATTACATTTTAATAAACATTACATTAAATAAAATATATATTTTTCTAATTTAATTAATTAAACTTAAATTTAATTAAATATCATACGAAATTAAATTACATTTTTATAAATTTAGTTATTACATTTAATAAAATCGACTTTTTTAAATTTAACTAATATAATAAATTTAATTTAATTTAATTCAATAAGTATCACATAAAATCAAATTATATTTTATAAATTTAATTAATATCACTCATAAAAATAAATTTTTTTAAATTTAATTAATGTGGTATATTAAATTCAATTTAATATAATCAATTTAATATACTAAGTTTAATATAAATTAATTAATGTAATAAATTTAATTTACTTTAATTAAACTAACTTAATTTAATTAAGGTAATTTATTCAATTTTATTTAATTTCATCAAGGTAATGCATTTAATGTAATGTATTTAATGTAATATACTTAATGTAATATATTTAATGTAATGTATTTAATGCAATGTATTTTAATGTAATATAGTTATGTAATATTTAAATTATTTAATTAATGTAATATTATATATCTAAACCTTTTTAATTTAAACTAATATTTAGAAAAAAGAAAATAAAAAAAGAAAAAAAGTATTAAAACATTTTTAAATAACCCCATAAATTTATTTCATTTATTATTTATTTTATTATTTTCAATTTTATTATTTTTATATTTTATTATTTTTATTATTTTATTATTTATTATTTTATATTTTATTATTTTATTATTTATTCTTGTTATTAATTTTATTACTATTTACATTTTTATTTTCAATTAAAATCCATAAGTTTTGTTTATATTGTTTTTTATTATTTTTGGTACTATTTTTATTTTTGTTTTCAATTTAAAATATTAATATTTAAAATATTATTATTTAAAATATTATTTAAAATATTATTATTTAAAATACTATTATTTAAAATATTATTATTTAAAATATTATTATTATTATTATATTATAATTATTATTTAAAATAAAATTATTTTAATTTTAATTTTGTTAATATTAGCATAACTATATTTATTTTATTTCGAATTTAAATCATTTTATTTTTATTTTTTGTATTATTTTTGTTACTATAATTATTTTTATTTTAAAATCAAAATATTTTTATTGTTTCATTATTAGTTTTTTCAGTATTTTTATAACTATTGCTGTGATTTTTTTGCTATTTTTTTGCTATTAATATATATATTAAACCTTTTTAATTTAACTAATATAATATATTAAATTTAATTAATGTAATATATTTAATTTAATTAATGTAATATATTAAATTTTATTTTATTTAAGTAGTGTAATATATTAAATCTTATTTAATTTGATAAATGTCATTAAATTTTTTTAAATTAATTTCAAAATTAAATCACATTTTTTAAAATATTAAATTAACTATTTATTTAAATTTATATATCTTAATTACATTTATTTCTTAAAAAACTAGATACCATATTCACCGAAAAACTTTTCATTTCTAAAAATTTATTAAAAATAATATTATTACATTAACTTTTATAAATTTTTAATTCCTAATAAATCGAGAAAAATATTTAAATAAATATTATTTATTTTATAAATCCTGGTACATAAGGTACAATAATTAAAATTTTTTTAATATAAAAATTTTTCAGTATATTAAATATAATAAACATTACATTTAATAAAATTAATTTTTTTTAATATGTTAAATATTAATTAATATATAGTAATAATATATTGTAATTAATAAAGTAATATATTAAATTTAATTAAATTTATAAATAGCACATAAAATTAAATAATATTTTTTAAATTTAATAAACGTTATATTTCGAATTATTATTATATATTCTCTATTGAAAACAATAATTATATTAAGAATTTAGTTTCTTTAGTCAAAACGGACGTTTAAAATCAATTGAACTAACATATTTAATATAATTAATTTTTTTAAATTTAATTAATGTGCTATGAAATTAATTATATATTTACACATTTTATATATAAAAATAGATATAGAGTTTTTATACGTATATCAGAGATAAGGAGTAAGAATATATTTGAATATAAAACAAATGGCAACCCATAATAATTATCTCAGTAAACTTAAATGTGAACTGATACGCATTGAAAGCAATTTCTGCATACAAAATATACACAAATTATTCTGAAGATAAAAAATTTATTGCAAAAACTGCTTTTACAATTATACAAATGCAATTTAAGAACTTAATTAAATTGACCTGAATTTGACATAAGAAATTTTTTTAAAAATTATACCAGACGCTATAAGTGGATTTCGTTGATGGAGATGTTTCGGTTTCATTTTCGTTTATGTATTGCAAAAAAAAAAATTTTAAATTCCGAAATGTTTGATGAATCACATGTGTTTATTTTTCTAATCATTAGATACAAGACTAACGAATTTCCAATATATTTTTTACATTGGTTAAATACCCAAGCCCACACTATATAAGGCATTAAATTAAACATTACATTCTACATTAAAAATATCTTTAAATAAGAATCATTTTGGTTTTATTTTCTGAATTGCTTGTAAAGCTAAAATCCAGTTTCATGCCTGTTGCGTTTTATGAAAGAATAATGATAGAATAATAGATGCAATACATTGGCATTTTAACTTTAATAGATCTCAATTAAAATTCTTCTTAAAGAAAACATTGAGTTTAAAATTTCGCAATAAGAAACTGGCAGATGCGATAACTTTAAGAATTACAAATTTTATTTATTTTTTGCTATTAGCAAATTCAATTTGCCTTAGAGACTCATAAAAAAATCATATAATTTTTTTAAAAAAATATTTAAAGTAAATTTTCACTACAAATGCTTAATTTGCCAATTTTTAATGATCCCAATTTCCTTAATGTACTTTAAGTGCATCTAATAACATTCCCACATGACCCAAAAATGATTTTAGAACTCATTTCCGTGAAGAGGAAAATGCAAAGCTGTGATAACCGCAACTTGATCTTGTCATAGCACAAATTTACTGCCAACATTTATTTTTTAAATTGAGGGCGCCTAGGAAATTTTTAAAAAAACATTTTTTAAAAATGTTTAAATTAATGCATTTTATTAAAATAATCACTGCATAAGCGCAACAAATTTTAAAAAGTATGTCAGAAAATCATTTCGAAAAATTAACAAATAAATTGATTCACTTTTGGCTAAGTCTTATAAAAATACAAATAAAAATATTTATAAAATTAACTAAAAACCTAAATGAGAGCACTTTTCTTAGAGCCCTTACAATCCATTTTTATACTTTTATGTATTTAATTATAGCAGAAAAATAAGAAATTCTGAATTATTAATTAACATACAAAAAAGGAAACATTTCCGGATTGTCATGAACGTCCTTGAACTTAAGACCCACTTCACCCATTCCAAATGTGAAGTCATGGTAACGAGGTAGGAGAAAGTTTATTTGTTTATTTATTTAGTTTGTTTTTTTTTTGTTTTAAAATTGACATATAAATAAAAGTTAAACAAAATAACGTGACACACATTTCCTAAATAATCAACGAAAGTGAAAAATAGTATGCGATTGTTGCCCATATTTTGATAATTTTGTGCCATAATTCTGCTATAAGCCGTTTTACGGGTATTACCACTCCTTATAGTCCTTAAGTATTGTTGTTATTTACACATTTGTAAACATAGGATGGGCTTAGCGTTGTGATTGGAGTATAGCATGTGTGTAAGATGTAAAGGCCTTTTATGTCGAAGATAAAAGGATATTGTGGTATATATTATTGACAAAATTTTGATAATATTTTAAGTATGTGCGAATTATATTGATTTAATATATTTAAAACTAATTGGAACACAAACAATATTAATAAAAAAAAAACCAATAAATAAAATTACAAATGAACAAAAAGAAATATTTATATTATAACATAAGCCGTTTTCTTTGAAAGTGGTGTAAGTGTATTTTTTTTTATATGGAGATTAAAGGTTCTACATTTAAATAATTTGAATATGGAGATATGTTTAAACATCAATTTTGTTTTTTTTATATATGAATACAACTGTAAGTTCTGCAAAGAGAATGGGGAGACAACCAAACATGTGCTGTTAGAATACCCTGCGCTAATGCACAAACGGAATAGACTCCTGGGTATATGTACCCTTACGAAAGAGGCAACTCACTCTGTAAAGTGAGTTCTATATTACTTCGTATTGACACAACAGGGCTTAAAGATCTACTTTAAACCCAGAAGAAGGAACAATAGACCCGATAGTCGCAGTGCCACATCTCTTAATTATAATAAAATATTCGAAGTATGTTGCCTGGCATTATCCTGATGGAACACAATTTCTATTCTATTACCTAAAGTTGTCCAATTCTGGACGATTGCTTCCTTCATACGATCTTATTGTTGACAGAACAGTTCCGAGTTTAGAGTTTTGCGCAGGGGAGCTGCTTAAAGTAAATGATTCCCTGCTAATCCCACCAAACACATAGCAAAATCTACCTGACCGTCAATTCTGGTGGCTGGCTTGGCTACTGGTTTAACCGGCTCACTGCGATTCAACAACGATCATTTTCGCATTGACGTTGTCAAAAGTGACCAGCATCAGTCACCAACCGTTTCAGAAATGGATCGATTTTAAGGAGAAAACTTATGGGACGTTTTTTGACTTGAAAATGGTGAAAAGGAAAAAAATTTTCTACATACGTTTTTAATGAAAGGAAACTTATACTTATTAGAAGACTAAATATTATATACTTGAAAAAGTGCAATAATAAAAAAAATAAGATCAAAATGCAGTAATAAAAGCAAATTTAATTGATGAATAACGTAATGAAGAACCGATAAATATGAGAATTCAGATAGCAACAAGCAGAGTAAATGAAACTCCAGAACAATGCAGTGAACAAACTTAAATTAAATGGCCAGTAGTCATTGAAAATAAATATATAATAAGAATAAAAGCAAGCAATATCAGGTTAAAGACTAAAAATTTAAAATAAAATTTAATACAAATCGGTTCAGATTTAATAAAAAATGTATACACATAAAAAATTGAGCAAAATTGCTTCGAGTAAAATAAAAATAGAATGGTACTTTATTCAGAGATATAGGTAAAATTGAAGTTCAGGGCGAAGAACCTAGTAGTCCAGATCCTTATTCTTAGTTAACTTAAAAATGAATTTTAATTTTAACCCAAAAATAAATAAACAAATAAAAATGAAATTCTTAAACTGACTGAAGTTTCTTAAAAATTTTTTAAAAACTTTAATAATTATACTGATTACTTATCGAAAATATAGCTTTCAATTTTGAAATAGTAAAGTGATCGTGCAATCAAAAATATATTTTAAATCAGATATAAACTTATTTAAAGTTATATTGAGTTATACTTATGATATTAAATAAAAATGTCTATTACATTTACCATAAAAATGATAAAATTTATATTTAATAACAAAAAAAAAATTATATTAAACCAAAATAGGTAAACACATTTTTTTGTTATTTTTGCAATTTTCAAAAAAATTTCAGAGCAAATAATATTTGAAAATAAATAAAAATAAAAAAAATATAAGTATGGGCTCTTCAAATATGAGATCATATTAACGATTTTATCATATGGAAACATTTCTTGAATATTTAAATGATTTATTGGAAGTATTACCCTGAAAACAAAAGCATACAATATTTTTCGCAATACGAAGAAATTCTTCTTCACACTCAATAAAGTAAACATATTTTGTTTTGATTTTTAAAAGAAATAAATATAGTTTTTTCTTACTTAATTGCAAAAATTGATGAAGCAAAAAATTGCAAAGCCAATTTTTAAGAACTCAGAAAATTATTAGAGCGACGAAAATTGAATTTAACATACTTTTTTTTTAAATATTTTGTCAATTTGTATTATTTAAAAATTTTTTTTATCTATATTTTACTTCTATAGATGATTATGTTTGATACCATTGGTAGCTTGTTCCAAGAAAACAATACATATTAACTCTTCAAAGGGACCTATATTTCAGATTGTGTAACTACTACAACTGTTACAGTATTCGTTGAAAGGACCTATAGTCGGTATGCCTGCCTATAAGACTGTAACTTAAATTCATATATACTAATATTTCATGACATTGTAATCATTTATTATAAAGGTAAATTATATTAAAAATTGATTTCAATAATAAGAATGGAATTCATTCAGATTTTTGCGCCCTTATATTAATATGTTTATCTTATGAGAATATAAATAGAACAATAACAAAGATAGAAAAAGTACAAATATTCAAATATATGTATAAATATTTAAATATGTGTATAAATATTCAAATATATAATGTATTTAACTAGAATATCGCAACAGGAGTCATAGCATAGCATTTTTTAAATAATGAAGTAAAGAATAAAGTATTAAAACATTTAATACATAATTTTATTTACTATTTATTATTTTATTTTTATTATTTTTATTATTATTCTTGTTATTAATTTTATTACTATTTACATTTTTATTTTCAATTAAAATCTATTAAGTTTTGTTTATATTGTTTTTTATTATTTTTGGTACTATTTTTATTTTTGTTTTCAATTTAAAATATTATTTAAAATACTATTATTTAAAATACTATTATTTAAAATATTATTATTTAAAATATTATTAATTAAAATATTATTATTTAAAATAAAATTATTTTAATTTTAATTTTATTAATATTAGCATAACTATATTTAAATTCATTAATAATTTACGTGATTTTACTTTGTATGTAATTTTATTTCGAATTTAAATCATTTTATTTTTATTTTTTGTATTATTTTAGTTACTGTAATTATTTTTATTGTTTCATTATTAGTTTTTTCAGTATTTTTATAACTATTGCTGTGATTTTTTTGCTATTTTAATTTTTTTTTTTATTTTAACTTATTCTAATTTTATTATAGTATTATTATTGTTGTGATTTTTTATTTCACATTAAATTATTTTAGTTCTTATTATCTTATTTTATTATTTTTATTATAACTTTAATTTTTATTAATTTTTTTTTACAATATTATTATTACTCTGTATTTAAATCGTTTAATTTTTTATTTAATGATTGTTTTATTATTATTTTTTTAATATTTTTATATTGAATAGATCTCGTTTTATTTTTTATATGATTATTGATATATTTTAATTTTTATTGTTATTTTTATTTTATTTTTTTGTCTGTTATTTATTTTTATTTTATAATATATCTTATCTAATGTTATGTAGATATTCATTCACATAAATCTAATATCAATGAAATTATGCTTTGTTTCATATTTTAAATTATTCTATTATAACTATTGTTAAAACTGGTTTGTATTATTATAATTATTTAATATAATTTTGTAATTTTATTTAATGTAATTTTTGTGATTTATAATTTACAATATATTTTTATAATTTTCATTATAATTTTATCATTTATTCCTTTTTCGATTTTTATTTATCTATGTAGGAAACTAAATAAATTATCAAAGTATTTCAAAGTGCGACGTTTCCAATGTAGTCACATAAACAAATCTGCACTTCAGTAGACAGGGTTCGAACGTTGACACTGATGGTCTTATCGTATTTAATTCATTTCAAGCGTTTTTTAATAAAGAATCACTGACGATGGATATTTGGCAGCATTCGAAACATTTGTTTTCATCAGCTAAAAATTGTATTAAACTAACAATTGACATTTGTTCCACTAAATGATCAAAATTACAAAATTAAAAACAATTATAATTTAATTTTTTTTTTATTACAGTACTACCCCAAAGTTATGAACACTGAATATTACCCTAAATAGGGAATTAATTTCTAAAACGTGATTAAAATTCTAAAACGTGAACATAAATGTTGGACTTAATTAATTCAAGCACTATATTCTCAACTTAGTTTATTATAATATTATTATTTTATAATAAATTATAATTTTTTTTTTTCGTATAGAAAAATAATTTTTATTTTATTATAATTGGTACTATATGTTTTTTATCGTTTTATAAAATCTATATAAGTTTTTATATGGAAACAATAAAAATGAATTTAAATTATTATTATAAATATAATTTATATATATTGTTGTATATTTAAATTGTTATTATATATAAAAATATATTGTAAATTATTGTAGTTTTTTTTATCACTAAATGCAATACCACTATGATAAATTATTATTATATCATATATTATATTATATATTATTATAGTTTTTTTATCACTAAATGTGTAATTTAAATTATTATTATATAAAGAGGTTTTCGAACAGTAGTGAAACAACAACAAACATTTATTTTTTAAATTATTTTAATTAATTGAATTTTTGGCTGACCATACAGCTGTTTCGAGTATTGCCAAATACCCTTCATCAGTGGTCTTGGAAATAATTCTTATATTTAATTATTCGTAAATAATTATTTTTGAGACTGCAAGTACCAGGAATCGAAACTCGGGTCCTGCCAAATATGAAGCTCAGAATCAGCGCACCTTAACCAACTGATCCAAAGCCGTACTTGACTTTTTATGTTCGCATATTTTTGCTGGAGTTTTGTTACTTTTGCTATGAAAGTTTTTATTAACAATTTTACTTGCTGTATTTATATATTAGAACGAAATCATAAACCAGCTGTAGAATAATTGAATTAATTAATTAATTATATTTTTTATTTTTAATTGTTAAATTTCAAAACTATTCTGTTCGTAGAGGCATTATTTGTTGCATGATTTGTTCTTTCTTATGTATAGAACCTAATCTAGGAACGTAATGCTGATTATTATTATATTTAAAATTATATTGCAAATTATTATAGTTTTTTAACACTTAATGTAATAACACTATGTTAAGTTATTATTATATATATAATTATATTATATTATATATTATTATATATATAATCATATTATATTAAATATTATTATATATATAATTATATTATATGTTATTATATATATAGTTATATTATAAATTAGTTTTTTTATCACCAAACTTAATAACTTTAATTATTATCAGGAACTTTAATGCAAACCTCCATCGAACGATAAAATCGTCATATCTATAAACTCGTTGTATATATTTTGTTATTACTTTATTTTGATTTTTTTTATAACAAAAATTTAAATTAATTAGAAGCAACTAACTACTTTTAATTTAATAAAAAAGAAATTTTTATAATTATTTTTATTTTAAATAACTTACATGAATTTTACTCATTTTAGAAAATTCTTATTCCATTTGTATTGAATAAAATCAATTATAAAACAATGTATAGATCATTACACTCTTTTTAAAATAGCTATAAGCCTTTCACTAATATCATTCTATATATGCAGATATATTTTTATTTAACTTTACATTGTTACATCAACACATCTTCATTTTACACTTTACAGTTTACACTTTCGTGTTATTAAATTTGTTTTTAAAGCAAGAAAAAAATCCATTTTTAATAAACATTAAAATAATTTATAAATTAGCGGTTTAACACATTTAACAAAAATTTTTTAAAATTTTATTACTCGAATTTTTTACAAAGCTGAAATAATTTTTAAAGTTATCTGACTAACGCACGCCAATATCCAACCGACCGCCAACTGTGAACGTTTTTTTATAAATAAAATCGTGAAATATCTTCATTCTGCTACACTACAGCCAAACCGAAACGATATGCTCCACATATAGAAACGGAACCGAGCGCCAGTGTGCGATACATTGTGGGTACATGAAGATTTGCAACTACTCGGCGCTGCGGTAGGAGCAACAACGTAGCATGCATAGCGTATGGCGAGTATAGTGTATAACGTACACTTGTGAAGTTGGTTTATCGGTTCCAAGCGGTTCCGTGCACCAATGTTTGCTTATTTTTATAATCAACAATGTGGAACGCATTAGTTTTGCCATTCGCGAACCAAATGAAACGTGCGATAGGGAAGTGGCAGCGTGGCTGACTTATTTTCTGATAGTAAAACTAATATAGAATCCACAAGCGATAAAATTGAATTTGTTGCGACGACCGAAAACATGGCAGCACCTTGCAACACCCTTCGAAGTCCATTGTATCTGTGAGATAGTCGCGATGTGTGGCGCGTGTGGTAGTTTTACATTTAATTTATTTTTATTTATTTTTTTATGATTTTTTTGTCTTTTCAATACTCATTTCTTATTGAAGTTTTGATTTCGATTGATAAAAAAAAAGGAGCCAATTTTAGTTACTTACACGCCACGTGAACCAACTTTTTCGCAGTTGTAAAAATGATGTCAACTAAGTTGTTAACATTTGGAAATAATTAAAAGAGATTAAAAAGATTTATTATTTGGGATTTAAGCTTAATGGTATGAATACATATGTGAAATCCAGGGAACGCTATTAAAATGTTAAAACTACAATTAATTAGAAAGATAACGTACCCGAATGTGTCAAAATAAGACATTTCAAAGTTTGGTGTAGATTTATAAAAACATGAAAAATTATAATAAAATCAAGTACAATTTTTTTATGATTATAAAATGATTATATGATTATCAAATGATTATCATTTTATCAAATGATTATCATTTTATCAAATGATTATATTTCTTGATATGTTTTGCATTCTTTAAAACTTCGATAAAAGATAAGCGATTTAATCGTGATTAACGGAGTTGGTATGAAAACATAATTAGACTTTTGTCGATATTAAAGAATCTGAGAACGTAAAATAATTACAACACCAATATAAAAAAATAATAAAATTCTTCTTTGTTTAAAAGCTATGAACATAAGACTATACTAAAGATGATAATAATAAAATCAGTGACTCGATTACAGCGTTAAAATATTTAATATATTACTAAGAATTTAATAAATCTTTAAAAAGTATATAGAAAACTCTTAACTAAGAAATAATAAAATTTGATTAAAAATTAAATGTATATTAAAGTCATATATAAAAAAGAAAATATCATTTAAATAGAAACGTTTTAAATAGTAGTGAATACAACAACAACAAAATAGTTAACTTTTCAAATAACTGAATTTTTTGCTGACCATAAAGGATATAAAAAAATATAATATTATTTGTAAAAAATAAAAAAAAAATAAAAATAAAAAATATAAAAATATAAAAAAAAAATAAAATAAATAAAATAAAATAAAATAAAGTAAAAAAAAAATTAAAGAAAATAAATAAAAAAAATTAAAGAAAATAAATAAAAAAAATTAAAAAAATTAAAGAATATAAAAATAAAAAAAAATAAATAAAATAAAAATAAAAAAAATAAATAAAATAAAAATAAAAAAAATAAATAAAATAAAAATAAAAAAAATTAAACAAAATAAATAAAAAAAATTAAAAAAATTAAAGAAAATCAAAGAAAATAAAAATAAAAAAAAATAAATAAAATAAAAATAAAAAAAATTAAAGAAAATAAAAATAAAAAAAATTAAAGAAAATAAAAATAAAAAAATTAAAGAAAATAAAAATAAAA